TTACGATACCCTGTCTTTATTTCGACGTGGGGTATGGTCGGGGCCGGATGGGAGTCGAATCGGCGGGGAAGAATCGAGAAGAAGAGGCTGCACGGCGCGTATCGATGTTTACGAGGCGAAATAAACGGCGGCGACGGCGCCGCCGCCGCTGCCATCGGCGTGCGGTTATTTCGTATTACTTTGCCCGTTTAATGGCGTCCTAAAGTGGCGCATAAAAATCGACGCTCGCCTCCTAGAAGGTGGTCGCCGGTGCCGCGCCATTCTTTCAAACCCGCAAAAGAACCATCTCGCCGCGGGATTTCGGTTTCGTGGCCGTTCAACGTCGTCGGCTCGTTTCCTTCGCGTGGTGCCCCCTCCCTCCCCCTCCCTCGCCAACGGCTCGCCGCTTTTTGCCGACAGATTCACTCATTGGCGAGTCCACGTGGCGATGGCTCTCTTCGCCGGCGATCCTCGCGGGTCGTCGACGGTGGTGATCCGCCGATGATACATTATGCATCGCGCGGGAGACTCGTTTGCGTGATCCGAGCGTTGCTCGGGGAATGGCCGAGGGAATGGTCGCGAAATTTGCGAGGAATTGTGTAGCAAGGATGAGGTGTAAGAGTGAACGATTAGTTGGGGAGAAGTTTGTAAGCGAGAGATTCAATTGATTTTAGGCTGGAGTATTGATATTTGTGATCAATATTCGATGGATAATGTTGATTGGGTTGATCGTTATTTTGTAATTGTGGAAAGTATTCGAAAATATAGGAGGCTTGAAAGTTATGATATTCACGAATCGCATTATGCATTAAATTTATGAATACATATATCTATTTTATATTTAATACTGGTTTAATCATTTGAATATGAATTAAAGGTAATTTTAATGTTAATAAAATATCGTTTTTTAAAATAATTTGTAATATGAAACGCTGCAATTTTGAAATTTCTCTTTAGTAGATAAATTATGTAAATTTTATGCAGTCTTAAAGATAAAAGTAAGTAATCAATTTCGCGAATATATATGGAAAATCGATAAAATTTGATTTATATTTTGAGTTTGTCGTATGACCTAGTTAATAACGGAAACAGAACTTTGTAGCACACGATTGATAAAATATTACTTTTTAAAATTTATTTTAAAATTAAAATCGTGTTCTACATTACGTGTCCTTTTTTTTAATTTTTTGAAAATGACTTCATTTTTATATCGTGAAATAAATTATGATCGTTAAAGAAAAAAAAAAAAAAAGAAGATACGATTCAAAATTACACTCGTATTTTTGTACATTTGATTTCACTTATGAAAAGAATGCTATAACAATTTACTACAGTTTTACTAGATATGATTTTTTCCATCCTATTAATTATCTTTATACTTATATGCCCAATTTGCATCAATTTATCTTGAGATATTCTTTATACAAAATATCTTAAGATTCAAGTTCCAACGTGACAAAATTAAAGGAAACACCTTGTATACATAAAAAAAAAGAAACTTTTTACATTATTATCACTTAAGAATCTTGTTCCAGTGTCGTAAAATTAAAGGAAACCGCTATCAATTTCGCCTCATCTCCTCCCATAAACGTCAACTTAAATACACGAGAGGCGCGTGAAAATCGACACCCTAACAATAATTCCTAGAAGCAGGCAGGAATAATTGGGCGAACCATAGGGGAATTCGCGCCCCATAATCGATACCGGGTCGCCATTGTCTTTCAGGAGCGCGCAGGCGTCGTAAATTTAGGAGAATTTTAATCTCAGCTCAGAGGAGTTCGGCCGGTAATTTTCGTAACCCCGTTGTCGAAGATAATTGCCACGTTTCCGCAGCCCCACGGGGCTCGAAATTCGCCGATGAATTTCGTGGCCCGATCCCAGGCCCGAAAACGAAGGAGAACGTGTTGCCTGGCCGACCTCGACCGACACTTCTTCACGGCTCCAACTACCACTTTTCTCCCCCCGACTAAACCGGGGACCATTCGCCTCTCTCGGTTATCTCGCGCGTATCTCTCCTCTTCTTTACTCTTTTCTCCTCCTCTCTCTCTCTTTCTCTCTTTTAATACTTCTTTCTTTCTTTTTTCTCTCATCGCGACCTCGCCGTAACTTTCTGTTTGACGCGGCTCGGGAACCACCGACGCGACGGTGGTTGCATCGGCTGTCTCGTAATTCAGTTACCTTGCAACCTCGTGAAAGATCTTCGTTCCCCCGAGTACGCTTCTGTTGCGTGGGCAACAGTGTGAAGAGTCGCCTTTTACGAGGAGTTAGAGGTTTTTCGGAGGTACTTCACACTTCCTTGGAAGTGATTGTTGGAAGAGACTTTTATGGTGGAAAAACTTCTCGATTATTTACTGAGCGTGTAAGGTGAATATTTGATACCTGTTTGTTTGATTTGTTGGTTACTTGTTTAAGATTTATAATTAGTCTCAAGTATAATTCAAACGAAACATTTTTGTTTGAGTTGTTCTTTTTTTAATGGCGATTTTCAAATTAATCTTTAACTTTTTTAATATTTTCTTCTTTTTCTAACGTAAATTTCATTAGAAATCATCATTTAAAATCAATTTTTGGTCGATTTAACGTAAGAAAAGGTTACGTATACAAAGAAAATTTAAATACTCGATCGAACAGTTCGCAAGGTTCTCGGAAATCAGGTTGATTTTACGGCCCGGAGCGCAGAACGTGATCGCACGGCGCCGATGAAAAGTTGCGAAGAAACGAGGGAGAAGAAAAGAGATCGACACGTCCCCGGAGGGTTCGGAACCAGTGCTCCTTATATTCCTCCTGTTGTAAGAATTTCCATCGTACCGCCGTTTCACGGAGCAAAGTGGGACGAGGAGAGACGTCGCGCGGAATATAAAAGGGAAACGCAAGTGGAAAAGGAAGGATTCTGCTGTAAAATAGCAAACGAGTAGAGGAAGGGACGAGTCAGGGGGACGTACGAGAGTTCAGAACGTGGCGTTGCCTGAAAAGGAAGCCGACGGCGCCTCCAGTTAGCGGAAGTCGCCCTCCGACTAGTTTTACACGCAACTGATTGCGAGTCCCGCGAATATAACCAGTATTGCGACTAACAATCGAGTCAATAAAATTGACATCTGAAGAAGAGTATCGCTAATTAGTATCGTGATTACCCGAACAAAGGGACGTTTTAACATGTAAAACGCGAATTCATTCCCTAGAACTCGAATTCGAATTTCTATTTCATTATTAAAAAGAATGACGCAAATCAAAGATACTTGTTTAATTGAGAATAAGAATATTTCAATCGATCATATTCGAAATTTAAGAATTGACCCATCTAAATTAATATCTAACTTTCTAAAAAGTTAAATCACGTATTCCGATCCTTATAATTAAAAAAAGATTCCCAAGTTTTACATACCCTTCCCAAGAGAAGCGAATAAAAACCAACCCCTTTCCACCGCCAAAATTTTCTAACGAATCGCGGAACGGAACAAAATAGCATAAACCTGTGTCGGACAAATTTAATTTAATAACCCTAATGAACTTCTTGCTAGAACGTTCCTCTCTACGTAGCGATCGGGAGGCTGACCCTCATGCCTCGCTCGCAAGAAACAAAGTTGCCGCTTCTTATCTCGGACAACGATTAGGACATTAATCTTCGAAGCGATCGAGGCGGAGGAAACGCGTCGTCCGCGAGGCTTATTGGCCGACAAGAATCCCGCAGCGATGCAGATCCACGTCCGATCCGCATTCTCAAAGTTTGTGGCGCCGTTCTGCATTCGTCCACAACGTCGCAGCATCTGGCCGCTACGAAATACCGAGGGTCCGGTTGTTCCGACGCTTCTTCCCTTCGACCCATCTCTCTCTCTCTCTCTCTCTGCTCGCCCCGTGCCCATCTCGTATCCGGGGTATCTTCTTCTACGCGCGGTGGCCAACCGAGATTCGCAAGAAGGATGTCGTTGCGCAATTATTTTCGCATGATTCCGATCGGCCGGCCAGATTAAGACCGCCGATGGAACGCAGCGTCGCGTTCGTTTGCGATCCGCGTTACGCAGCAAAACCGAATTCCCGAGGACGGGGGGCCGATACGTGCGAGTATGCGCCGCGACGCGGGCGACGCGATTCCATCCCCGGCTCCCAGGGCCGAATTTCGTCGCCACGTCGGGACAAAGACGTAAACAGATGAAGAAGTTGGAGAGGAAGGGCGAATCTTCGTTCGGACGTCTGTCGATCGGAGATCGGTTTTTGCCGCGCTCGTTTCGCCCACGGCCACGTTTCGCCCATGGCCCGTTCCCCGATCCCGATGTTCCGCTTATTAACGAAGTTATGAATGATATCGGGCGGAAATTGGCCGCGCGATCAGCGGCGCGATTGATAATTAAGGTTATTAGGGTTTTTTGGTGATCGGGTTTGGGAAATTATTTGCCCCAAGTTAGAGGGGAGAATTTGGAACGGAGTGGATAAAATTAAACTGCTTAGGATTGATTCTTGGATTTATGGATTGATCGTTTGGAACCTGTTCGATAACGAAGAGAAGTTGGTAAATAATCCTGGATTTTTGAGAATTGAGAATATTGAAAATATTTTCAAGATGATTTAAAATAATTAAGGTTATTAGGGTTTTTTGGTGATCGGGTTTGGGAAATTATTTGCCCCAAGTTAGAGGGGAGAATTTGGAACGGAGTGGATAAAATTAAACTGCTTAGGATTGATTCTTGGATTGATCGTTTGGAACCTGTTCAATAACGAAGAGAAGTTGGTAAATAATCCTGGATTTTTGAGAATTGAGAATATTGAAAATATTCTGAGGATGATTTAAAATTGCGTGGAAAATAAAAATTAAAATTTATATGTATTATAATTGAAGAATGAATAATTTCTAAATTTAATTTTGCAAAAAGTTTTTTATATTCCACATAAATCACGAATTTTAAATTATATGAAGTTTGTTGTCACTTTATCCTTTTGAATTTGTTCACATTTCCCTGAAATTAAAAAATAAAATTTTAATGGCAAAACAAATATGTGGAAAGAAATATGTATATATATATCAGATATATTATCGACGCATAATCATAAGTATCTTCGTCGTAGAGTCTTTCACACGTAGTTGCTCAACGAAATCAAACGTGCACGCGTGTTATGGAAGTGATTCGCCCACTGGCACGGTTTCAAAGTTTAGAAAGCTATCTATAGATCGTGGAAGCGTTTTCGACGATGTGGGTGGCGACCTCAGCCACCGTTCCACTCCGTGATTCTATGAACGGAGAGGGTCGTTGACGTACGGAAGTCGTGCGACCAGTCTCTATATCTCAGTCATTTACGAAATGTCACCGTAGTTGTGTCGATAATTCTACAACATAGTGCGATGGATCGTGTAAGTTTCATTGTATTTTCAAACACGTGTTTCTCAAACTATGACATTTGAGTATCTTGTTCAAACGCGTATAAATTGTGAAGAGCGTTAACGTTTTTAACGTTGAGATTATGATTAAGAGAATTTCGTAAAATGTGATATGATTTGTGAAATTGTGTGAATGTGCAGTTGAATTAAAATAAGTTGAAATGTATATTAAATACTTCCTTTTTTTGTTACAGTTTGCATTGGAACCAATGGCCGCCTCTCTGTTCCGTCCAACAAACAACACCACTACCGGAATCTTCGAGACCGGTACACCAACTGTACTTACGTTGACGGCAATCTGGAGATCACATGGCTCCAGAACGAGACATTCGACCTCAGTTTCCTCCAGTACATACGGGAGGTCACAGGTTACGTGCTCATCAGCCACGTGGACGTCAAGAAGATCGTTTTGCCGCGATTGCAGATCATACGAGGAAGAACACTGTTCAAGCTCACCATTCATGACATCGAGTTCGCCCTATTCGTCACGATGTGTCAGATGCAAAATTTGGAGATGCCAGCCCTCAGAGGTAAGTCCATTTTATTAATTTCTTACTTTCTATAAACAAGATTCAATATTCAAACTTTCAAAATATAATAGTATTATAAGTACAATTAATACAAGATTAATTATAAGCATTATTTAATTCCAATAAATACTATCAATTTTACCAATTTTACCACAAAATATTATTTACCATTGTTATTAAAATAATAAAAAAGTACTTCGAATTTCAATGATCGACCATAACTAAATCACGCGTGTCATTGCCAGATATACTCAACGGCAGCGTGGGCATGTACAACAACTACAACCTGTGCCACATCCGCACGATCAACTGGGAGGAAATAATCACAGGGCCGAGTGCAATGTACTCCTACGTGTACAATTTTACGTCGCCGGAACGCGCCTGTACACCCTGCGATAAGAGCTGCGAGCAAGGCTGCTGGGGCGAGGGGCCTGAAAACTGTCAGAAGTATTCGAAGACAAACTGTTCGCCTCAGTGCTGGCAGGGCAGGTGCTTCGGGCCCAATCCGCGGGAGTGTTGCCATCTTTTTTGCGCCGGTGGCTGCACAGGCCCGAAACAGAGCGACTGCATCGCCTGCAAGAACTTCTTCGATGACGGTGTGTGCACGCAGGAATGCCCGCCCATGCAAAAGTAAGTAGAATGATCCGTATCTCGTTGTATCCTCCTCCCCTCCTCTTATGCACGAATCTGAATTTGGGTCGCGGCCGAGTTTCAATTTTGATTGACAAATCGTTCGTGGATTTCTTAACACGAAAATAGTAACAATAATTATTCATTATCAATCCTTTGGTACAGAATATGATAAATAAGGGAAAGTAATAGATAATTAAAATATATAATTAGGACATGGAAGATTGTCTTGCAACTTGTTAAAATTTTAATTTTAATCGATTCACAACACGTACAGATATTGATCCCTATATAATTATTGATCCTTTACATAAAGAAATGGGAAATGCACATAAATTTTTAAATGAAAAAAGTATATTTCTTATTTATTTACGTAAAAGATCAATCGATAGCTCGATTATAAACGTCATTCCATCCTTACACGATTGAAATAATGAAATTCGCTCGCTACACCCACGCAATTAATAAAAACCAATACCTCCAGATCACAGAATCGTTTTGCACGTCTAACAATATCGTACATGACGATAATATAATATTTCATGGATTATATACCGGAATGAGTAATCAAGAACTAGAAACGTAAGAATGGTCTATGAAACCTCGTTGATGTTCGAGCATTACTCGAGTTTACCTCACGTTTCGAACACTATACCGCGTTTTACAACAATATCCTTATCATCGATAAATCTTTCCTGCTTACCGATACCTGCTTTCCTGAATACCGATTTCCCGGATGCGAAATCGCGTTAAAAATTGAAAACTCCCGCCCTCCCAAAGCTTTACGACTCTGGGCATTACGACTCGAGGATTACGACGATCATTTCTTCCAGATACAATCCTACCACGTATTCGTGGGAGCCTAATCCTGACGGCAAGTACGCGTATGGCGCAACCTGCGTGAGAAGATGTCCGGAACACCTTCTGAAAGACAACGGTGCTTGCGTAAGATCTTGCCCGCCCAAAAAGAAGGCGTTGAACGGTGAATGCGTGCCCTGCGACGGACCTTGCCCGAAAACCTGCAAAGGTGTCGAGAAAGTGCATTCCGGGAATATCGACAGCTTCAAAGATTGCACCATCATCGAGGGATCCATCACAATTCTGGACCAAAGCTTTCAAGGATTCCAACACGTGTACAGGAATTTCAGTTTCGGCAAACGATACGAGAAAATGCATCCGGACAAGTTGGAGGTGTTCAGCACGTTGAAGGAGATCACCGGGTTTTTAAATATTCAAGGCGATCACAAGGATTTCAAGAATTTGTCGTATTTTCGGAATTTGGAGGTGATAGGCGGAAGAACTTTGACCGAGTACTTTGCATCGTTGTACGTTGTGAAAACGTCGTTGGTCTCGTTCGGGCTTAGCTCTCTCAAGAAAATTTATTCCGGCTCGATAGCCATTCTGGAGAACAAGAATCTATGCTACGCGCAAAGTATCAATTGGACCAGGATCAAGAAATCGTCGGAACACGAGAGTTTGTTGTCCAATAATCGGAACGAAAACGAATGTAGTGAGTACATTATTTGACAATTATCAATTTTTTTTTTAATTATTCGACTTATCAAACAAGAAAAATAATTAATTTAATACACGAATGGGTTATTCATATTTGTATTATGAAAATTTTTATGTATCTACATAAAAATACGTTAAGATAAAAACGATAAAGCTAAAAAAATAATATAGATAATAATGATATTATATAAATTTATAATGTATTAAATAAATATATTATATAAATACCTTTTTACGATTGCAGTAAAAGATGGACTAGTGTGCGACGAGCAATGTTCCGACGAAGGTTGTTGGGGGCCCGGCCCGGCACAGTGTTTATCCTGCAAGAACTTTATTTTAGGAAACGATTGCCTTCAAGATTGTACCGCGCCAGGGTAAGAATAAAAATTCACTCGAGAAACTCGTATCAATTGTATCGTAACGTAAATAACACGGGTTACTTCTCTATGTTAAATTTGCCTACCTCAGATTGTGGATCGAAGGTAAACTGCAAAATACCTGAGAAGGCTTTCGTTTCTTTCGCTACACGCTTTTTGCTCTCTTTTTTACACTTTTTATTGTCCTGGCCTCTTATCGAAAAGGAAAACAATCATTTTTATACCGTTTTATACAGAATCTACCAGGCGGACGAGAAGACCTGCAAAGTGTGCCACGAGGAGTGCGATGGTTCTTGCATAGGGCCGAACACGGATCACTGCAAGAAATGCAAACACGCGCGAGACGGTCCATTTTGCGTGCCAGAGTGCCCGGCCTCGAAATATAATGACAACGGTGTGTGCAAAAGCTGTCACGGGAACTGCGTGGGTGGTTGCGAGGGACCTGAAAACAACATAGGCCCTAATGGATGCCACAGTTGCGATAAGGCGATCCTCAACGACCATGTACCTGAAGGATGTCTGCAAAAAAAGGAGCCCTGTCCTGACGGTAGGTGACCAAGCATTTATTTCATTTCAATGAGGACAAGCTTCTTATCGAGTTGAAATTCTAGTACACTTAACTGTACACTTCAAATCGTAACTTGATTTTCAAGAATCGGTTTGTTTGGTTTGTCGTCATTCCTATACTTACTCCGTTATTAATGTTTCGAATCTCATACTCTAATATTCGAATCCATAATTTTTTAAGAAATTGTTATTAATTTATTCCAAATCTATGGAATTCAATTACGATTTCGAATTTCGAACATCGAGTAACGGATGACAAAACTGATTAAATAATTTTTAAGCATGGATACTTCTTGATTATTTTTATAAAATTTTTTCATATTACGAATAATGGAAATATTCGATAAACCTGTATAATAATACATATTAAGATATTAAGATGCAAATTAAGATGGAATATTTTTTTTTCAAAATTTGCTTGTAATAAAATTCAACATACCTTGAATGAAAATTATAATGTAATAATTTTATTTTACAGGGTATTACTACGAATGGGTGAGTCCTCTAGAGCAAGGGCCACTGAAGCCATTAGCAGGCAAGGCTGTTTGTCGCAAATGTCATTCTCGTTGCAAGAAGTGCACGGGATACGGTTTCCACGAACATGTGTGCCAAGAATGTACAAAATACAAGAGGGGTGAACAGTGTGAAGATGAATGTCCCGCGGATTATTTTGCAGACGCCAATAAACTTTGTATACCGTGCTTCAGCGAGTGTCGAGGATGCTTTGGACCGGGACCTAATCAATGTTATAAATGTCGAAATTATAAGATCTATATTGTACGTATATATTCATTTTTTAAATATTTCTAAACTTGTAAATCTCATTTTTTTTTTTTTTTAATTCTAATTTCTAATAAATGATCCGATATACTTCATTCTTAATTTATAAAAGAAAATTTATTTGATAATATCAATAATATTTAAATAAATTGAAGAATAGAATGTAGAATGATTCTTCAAATATCTTAAGATTTTCATTTGCTTCTTGGCAAAATTATCTAAGTTTAAATATTTTCTCTTCTTTTATTCTAGGATGAAGATATAGACGGGAACACTACATCTTTCAACTGCACCGAAACGTGTACTCCCGAATATCCTCACAAAATCTTCAATCCAGACAGCGAACCGTATTGTTCGCTTGAAACCGCCGGTTTAATAGAAAACGAACTTCAACCGGCCATCTTAGCAGGTGTCGCAGTATTTGCTTTAGCGTTTCTAGTGGTGGCGGCCATCATCATGTATTTCTGGCGTGTACGAGCAAAAGCCAAAGAAAACACCGTGAAAATGACAATGGCATTAACTGGTTTGGACGACAACGAACCCCTTCGGCCAACTGGCGTGAAGCCAAATTTAGCGAAATTACGTATAATAAAGGAAGAAGAAATGAGAAAGGGTGGGATTTTAGGATACGGTGCTTTTGGAAATGTTTACAAAGGTGTTTGGGTACCCGAAGGAGAGAACGTGAAGATTCCAGTGGCTATAAAAGTTTTGCACGATGGTACAGGAGCGAACACTTCGAAAGAATTCTTAGACGAGGCGTACATCATGGCCAGCGTGGAACATCCGAACTTACTTCAATTACTGGCCGTTTGCATGACGTCACAAATGATGTTGGTGACCCAATTGATGCCTTTGGGCTGCCTCCTCGACTTCGTGCGCAGATACAAAGATAAAATTGGCTCGAAAGCGTTGCTGAATTGGTGTACACAGATTGCCAGAGGGATGGCCTATTTGGAGGAGAGAAGATTGGTTCACAGAGATCTTGCAGCTCGAAACGTTCTCGTGCAAACGCCTAATTGCGTTAAGATCACCGATTTTGGATTGGCCAAATTGTTGGACATCAACGAGGAACAATACAAGGCTGCCGGTGGCAAGATGCCGATCAAATGGCTGGCATTGGAGTGCATTCAACACCGAGTGTTCACCCACAAGTCGGATGTTTGGGCTTTCGGCGTGACTATCTGGGAGGTTCTTACTTATGGTGGTAGGCCGTACGAAAACGTGCCTGCCCGAAACGTGCCAGAATTATTGGAGAAAGGCGAAAGATTACCTCAACCGGCGATTTGTACAATTGACGTGTATATGATCATGATCAAATGTTGGATGTTGGACGCCGAATCGAGGCCTAGTTTTAAAGAATTGGCGGAAGACTTTGCGAAGATGTCCAGAGATCCTGGCCGATATCTTGCTATCAAGGGCGATAAATACATGAGACTACCTTCGTATACACTGCAGGTTAGTGAATTCGTAAATAGACAAATTTTAATTATACGATATTAAAATTTGTTCTTTAATTTTACAATAAAATTTGCAAATGAACAATTAATTTCAAATAATCTTTTAATAATTTGCAATAATTTGCAATAATTTATTTAGGACGAAAAGGAGATGATACGAAATCTTGCATCAGCTATGGACGGTCCCGAGGCTTTAGTAGATGCTGACGAGTATCTACAGCCAAAATCCAGGGCTCCGATTCCACCAGGACTTTCTGCATCCAGTACTTCCGGCTCTCCGCCAAACACGCCTGTGAAACCTTGCTGGCCAAATGGAAAACCATTAGCCGCCGACTCTCCCACGCCCCAGAATCAACAAAATTGGGACAGGGAGTTGTTGAGGTATGGCGCGAATCACAGGAACGGAAATGTATCATCGCACGAACCAGGAAATTCCGCACAACACGGGCATTACACGCCTCCGAACGGCCATTGTGGACATGTCGTGGGATCGGATAGTACAGCTTCGAGATATTGTTCGGATCCGTTGAAAATGATCGATGTCAGAGGTGAATTGATTGTTTATTTAGAATTTTAAATATCTTCTTAAATATTTCATTAATGCATCGTGTAATATTATTATTTATAAATAAGAATTAATAATTAATATCTCCAAATGGATGAAATTGTTGTTTACTTGTGATAGAAAGAATTGAGATCATCAATTTTTATCGTAATCTAAATCATTATGGAGTGACGATCGTTATAAATGCTAATATATTACATAACATAATGGCAACTTGTGGATGTACACAATGATAGATAATTAAAATTAATATTAAAAAAATATTAATTTCTCAATAATAGAATTAATATTATTTCGATAAATAACGATACAAATAAATATAGGAATATTAAATAACAATGTGTTCTATTATTATGTACATAGATTGCGATGTGACAGATGATTGTTTCGACGGTGAAGTGAACTCTGCTCATCAGCAAGCTCAAGTAGGTAATCTAAAGCTCGATTTGCCATTGGACGAAGACGATTATTTGATGCCATCGCCGCAATTGCCAACGAATACAACGCAATACATGGATCTCATAGGGGACTCGAAACCTACGGGTAAGCACGAAATCTTTTCCAAATCATCTCGAATTTAAAATTTATTAGAATGTAAATGATAATTCGTATAATTCTTATTGTTATTATCTCCAGAAATGGAACCAAAGCGAGTAAACAACGGTTACCGGAAGTATCCTGAATTCCTCACCATTCAAGGGAAAACATCGTTGGATAATCCAGAGTACATAATGTCTCAGGACGAAGGACCATTAACTCCGCAAACGATAGGTATTCCGACACCTGATCTGGAAAAGGTTTTAACCAATGGAACTTTTGGGTCTCAAGTGAGACAAAGGAGTTCCGAAGAAGAATCCGATCATGAGTATTACAACGATTTCGATCGCTTGGAACGTGAACTGCAACCGTTGAAACCCCTTAGGAAGAACGAAACGACCGTTTGATTTCAAGTGAAATAATGTTAGATATGAACTATAACATTATGATACTAGAATTCGAAAGCCAGGATATCGTTCAATCGTTTGTTGATCGAGTGTCTCAGATGAATTCGAGCGCAACAGATGAATACATGAACGTAAAATGGCATAAACACGAATGTATCCGGCTCCTCGTTCTTGAGGAAACTTCTTCACAGTGTACTTACAAAGGACACTTTGTACTCAAAAGTGCCGTGTTTGATTGTGATTAGATGTAAAACGTATGAAACTGTGCTAATTTCACTTTTCAACGAGCTGATTAGAGAATAAAAAAATACACGCGTGTAACGCGCGTCATGAACTATTAAAAAGCGTGCGTGCGATGAACAAGTAGTGCAAAGATAATCTTAATGTGCCATTTACCGTGGCTTGTAAATAAAGAAAAGAAAAAGTACTATCTACCACTTGTATAAGACTATTAAAAGTTTAGGGAAACGATGTGCAAGTAAATGGCATAAATAATTGTTTCTTTCCTATCTCTGTCTTCGATTTTTAACTTTGATGGGCCACATTCGCGCGATTTCGCTTTGTTTAATCTTTTTATATCTGTTGAAGTTTTTTTTTTCTTTTGTTTTAATAATATTAACGTGTTGAAATATAGAAAATTGTTTTAAACGCGCGGATGTGGACATT